GCCCCGTGGGGCGGGCGGCGGGCCATGGCGCTGCTGCCCGCCCTGCTGCTGCTGCTCCTGCCCCTGGCGGCGCTGGCGGCGGCTCTGGCCACCGTCCTCCTCGGCCTCCCCAGCTACGACATCCCGCCCGGGGTGAACCAGCCCGCCAAGCTGCGCCTGGTCCTGGCCGTCCTCCTCGGCACGGCCGCCCTGGTGAGTCGCTGCGGGGGAAGGGGTGTTTCCAGCCGCGATGCGGGGGTTTGCGCGGGTCCGGTCCCCAACGCGGGGCCGGGGGGGGGGACCCGCCGACCCCCCGAAACCCTGGGGAGTCCCGGCCTAGGGAATGCGCTGGGAAGGGGAAAAAGAGCACCCAAAATCCGGGATGCTGGATGTCCCCCGCGCCCTCAAGGGATGCTTGCGGTGCACATCCCGCGGAGAGCTGCGGCGCAGCGCCCGCAGTCGGGACGCGGCTGCTGCCTGCGGTAAAACCCATCTCCACCTCCCGAAGCGGCGCGCCGGGGCTCGGTAGCACAGATCGCCAAACGGCGGGGCTGATTTAGGTCTCGAACTCAGAGCCGAGCGGGTGCTTTGCCCGGTAACTGCCCGCGGCTTCAGGCGAAGTCACCTTGCACAAGGAAAACTACAGCCCTTCAGCCGCTCCTGCCGCGGCTGACATTTATGGTACAAAATCCGGTTAGGGCTGCTTTACTTAATCCTTGGACTCCTTTTACAGCATTGCATAAACGGCATTAGAGCTCAACTAAAATCTGCCTCTGCCACTTGCTATATCTTTAAATTTTCGTGAATCTTCACTTTTCTCCGTCACCCCTTTAAGCCACGCCATCGCCTTTGCTATCACACACATCTCGTTTTCCTCCACGCTGTTTCTTGCACCATTCACATCCTCTTTAAATCTCCTGACACAGCGACCCGGCTCTCCCGAATCCCCCCAGCAGGTGACAAGAAGGGAATGGATAAAGACAGATTCCCATTGGGCATTTAACACGGGGGCCTTGTTTAGTAACTGAAATGTAGCAGCTTAATTGTTTGATTCTCTTAGTTAATTTGGTTCCCAACTTCTTGTTTGTTCACTTCTTACACCAGGTTTATATTCTGGCTTGCAAGATCGTTGCAAAAGCATTGGGAAAGGAAGCATCTTGATTTTGCTCACTCCATCTCTTGTGCAAATAAAAAGCAGTAATTAACTTGCACAACACAACCCAGCACTTAAGATTTGCAGATTCACTGAGTTTTATGGTCTAATTCATGAATGAAGCAATGAAGAACTATTAAAGCTTTTATTGCTGTTCCTATATACGACATTTCATTGCTGTTATCAATGTAAATAAAACAAGAATGAGCACAAAGGTGTGCAGGACAACACTGACAATTAAAACATACACTCCAAGACAGCCAGTTTGGATGGCCTATATAAAATTTCTGATGTGATACTAGAATGACACTAGATTTGAATAATGGAAGTAAATATTTTACAGTGTAGGATTAGGATATAAGAGCTTGGGAAAATTGTTTTTCCTGAATCAGAGAGCTTTTTTTTTATCAGACCACGGGGTCAAACTGCTGTAGGTGAAGCCTAGATTTTTTCAGTCTGATTCTTTAGATTCCAGTGATTACTGGTATGATAAAAGGTGGCACTTCCCCTTTCTGGTAAAAGTAATCTAGGCAAACTTAAAACAGATACTGTTTTCTGACTCTCTCCTGGGATCTCTCACTTTCTTAGAGCTGGGCATTCCTAGCAAAAAAAACAGCTGGGAGTTGCTTTTCCTCACTTTCCCCCACTTTTTCCCAGGTTTATTAAGGCAAACCCCAAGGACCAAACAACCGATTAGGATGGACTTTCCTATAGGTACCTAAGTACCAATAAGGTGTTTATAGGTACCTAAGTACCCAGGAAGGCATTTGGATAGTGTTTGGGAGATGCTTCCACAGCCATTATCTTCCTCTGTGAACCGCCCTCACGGTAGTTATTCTAACTTCTTGCGCTGTTATTATTATATCTTTTTATAGCATGTCCATATTTTACAACATTACCACTTTGTTTTGGTTTGTTTCTTTAAAATTTCTTCTTTTAAAGAAGCCTTGATTTCTTTTACCTTTAACAGGGAAGGATTTTGGAGAAGACCGGACTTTGCAGTCAGATAACTTTTGGCCGATACGTGCGACAGGGACGGAAACTCGGGGTGGATCCAAAGCTTTTCATCCAGGATCGGCAGTTCAACAAAGTACCTGTGAGGGTTTATCAGCCTAAAGCCACCTCTGACGGGCGAAGGAGAGGTATCATCTTCTTTCACGGAGGAGGCTGGGTATTTGGAAGTCTCGGTAAGACATTTGCCAGAGGAATTATAGTAATGTAGAAAGAACATTCTCATCTTTTTATAAAATTGAAATAAGAGGAGGTTTCAGCATGTGATTTGGGAGGAAGTCTGAAGACAAATCCATGCCTTTCTGGAGTGAACATTCCCAAGCTGTCTCAAAGATTGGGGCAAGGGCAAAGCACTAATGAAAACATTTCTTTTCCAGATACCTATGAAAAAGTCTGCCGCTACTTATCCCGAGAAAGCGAGTCGGTGGTCGTCTCTGTTCAGTAAGTGAACCCTTCCCAGCTCTATTGTTTGGAGATTACAGTTGCTGTGGTGCTGCAGCAGAGCTGCACTGGTGCTGGAGATGTTGGTTTTTTTGCAGAGAAATTTCTACAGAATTCAGTGAAGTCCACAAAGACACAAATAGTGATAACAGATTTCACAGCTCTTAACTATTGATGCTCTGATATACTCAGAAAAGACCCAAATGGAAATATTTGGCACACTAAGAAAATCTATAAAAGCCAGTCAAAAAATTAGATAAAAAAGTCTTTCTTGTGCTGAACATACGAACATGTAATGAGATGCTCCACACAATTGTGATTTATAGAAAAAGAGAGAATAATCCCACTGTATTACTCCCATTTTACACAAAGGAAGCAGAGACACAAAATTATTGAATTGCCTTGTCACAAATAGACCGGGAGTTTTCAGCATGATCAAGAGATGTACAAAGTCTTGGTCAGACTCTTAATCAGAAGAAAATCCTACTTTACTGAGTCCTTGCGATTGAATTCACAATCACTACCTGAGGAAGAGAAGCTCAGGAAGTAATGAATATCCTGACCTGGAGGAAAACCACTCCAAAATGATAGGGCTGGAGGACAGCACAGGATACAATTTCCTGATTAATACTAACGACATTCCCTTCTCTTACACTTGTCTCTTTCTGTGTTCCAGGTATCGTTTAGCTCCTGAACACAAATACCCTGCTGCGTATGAAGACTGTCTTAACGCCACCATACACTTTATGAACAATATAGAGCACTATGGTGTGGATTCTGCCAATGTCATTGTCTGCGGGGACAGTGCTGGGGGCAATCTAGCAGCTGCTGTTAGCCAGACCCTTGCAGGTAGATCAGACCTCCCCAAATTACGAGCTCAGATCTTGATCTACCCAGGCCTTCAGGCCCTGGACTTCAATTTACCATCCTATCAGCAAAACCGAGGAGTCCCTCTCTTATTCCGAGAACGTGCCGCTTTCTTTGCTTTGCAGTACCTAAATGGGGATGCATTGCACATGCAAGAGGTCTTGGAGGGCTCTCATATCCCTCCAGATATGAGGCTGAAGTACAGGAAGTGGGTGAGCCCAGATAACATCCCCGAAAAATTTAAGGTCAGAGGTGTGAAGCCACTTAGGCCCACTGATTTTATAGCTGAAGTTTATGAGACAGTGAAAAGGTTCTGTGAGCCCAACCTCTGCCCGCTGTTGGCTGAAGATGCTGTTGTTCACCAGCTGCCAGAGTCTTTCATCCTGACGTGTGAGTACGACGTGCTGAGGGACGATGGCTTGCTTTACAAGAAGAGATTGGAGGACAACGGTGTTCCAGTGACCTGGTACCACCTCGAGGACGGATTCCATGGAGTCATAAGCTTATATGATTATTGTGGCTTCTCATTTCCAGCTGGGAAAAGGGGATTGGACAGCGTCGTTAACTTCCTAAAAAGCTTATAGTAAACACCTTAGATTGCACAAGTCTGTTCATGCCTCAATTTAGGAAAATATCTTTTTAGGATATTTAATATCAGGTGATGGGTAGTTAATCAAGGGCAGCCATTAACAATGATAAATAAGGCTCATCAGAGCCTCATTCCAGCTGTTAGTTGGAACATGGAATATGCAAACCTTGTACAAGCTTGTACCACGCTGCAAGCCTTTATCTTTAGCCATGTCAATAAAGAACAACATTATTTTGAATGAACACCCTGGTTTGTCCCACTTCTTAAAAATAAAATGCATCTGTCTATGAAGAGAGACTGTGTGTCATGCAGGAATGTGTGGTGTGTCAGTACAGAGGAGTGTGTCACTATCACAGTGTTTTGGGACATACTCTGTGCTCTGATTCTGAAGCCTGTTAGAGTAAAAACCCAGCTGACTCCAGTGGGTTTAGAAGCCCCTGTTTTGCTCAGTGATAGATACCGTGTGCAGCCTGGAATGTGGTTACTGGAACGACAGTCACCATGGGGACAGCAAACACAAATGGTTCTAGGGGCAAGCCCCGTACATCCAGACATCCCCCATTTCTGGGCACAGGGGCAGGCAGGAGCACAGCCCCTTTCTGCCCGACTTGTAGCAATGGGCTACTGAGTGACCTCCCACTCGCCCAACTCAAGGACAGTGCCAACAGCCGGGGCGGGTAGCGCCGGCAGACAAAGAAAGATGTTTGCATGGCAAAGAGATGGAGACGACTGGTGGAAAGTTAAACCCAAATACTCTTCTAAAGTTCTCGTTGGAAACTGGCTGGAAGAGAGGGAACGGCTGAGGCAGGAAAGAAGCCTGGGAGCAGGAACAGAGTGGTTCAGCACCAATGCTCTGGAGGTTGTGTACTCCTCGTGAGCTAGAGCCGAGGCTCATCTCAGAAGAGTAATAGAAGGGAGAAGGATAACCATCGTGCCTGTCCTACCTTAATTCACTTTTTAATGATCTGCCATTCTCCTCTGTAAGCCAGGCCAGAAGCAATGCCTGAGCATGGGTTATAGTCTGTGGTTCACACCAGACATAACAGCGGCCAATTAAAAATGCTATAGCACTTCATGGAAATCACTTCAGGCTGCTGTACAACTTACAGGCAGCTGTACCACAATATATACAACTTAATAATATATACCAACGTTAGACAAGAGAAGTTTCATTAACCCTTCCATAAATTAGTCCTTATTATTACTTGTATCAGAGGATCTTTAATAATTTGGATATTGGTTTCATTTGCTTGTATGACCAAGAGCATCTTTGCTAGCAGAGCTGCTCCGTGGATTGCATGCCCTGCTTCAGCTCAGCAAAACTTTATCATTAAACATTTAACTTTGTCAAAAAATGCCAGTTAGGTTCAATATTGGAGCTGTTAGGGCAAATCCTCCTGACTCTGCTAAAATTACTTCCTTTGGAATTTTTTTTTTCTGGAGCAAAATGCTTGACTATATTGCAGAGACTGTCCTGCTGCGGCAGGAGTAGGAGCAAAGGGACAAAAAATTTAAAAAAAGGATTAACTCATCCTTTTCAGATGTTAGTTCACATGGCAGGTGAAAGTGTTTAACACCAAACCATGAATAATTTTTCAAGGGCTGCAACGTATCTTATATTTACACCAAGGAAGCGACCCAGGATTTTACAAGGCTGATTACACCAGCTGACTTTACCATCTGAGAAAATGTACATAGCACAGACTTCTTTCCAAATAAGTGCTTTTTAAATGCGTAGATGAAGAAAGCAGCCCCGGAACAGAGATTCTGTAATTACCAGATTGTCTTAGCTACACTGTGTGTTGTGTGTCTCTCTAGTTTATAAAAGGCACCGGGAAGCTGGGCAGCAGCATATACAAAACAGACTTCATTTGGTTTCCGGATCAGAAACCAGACCAAGTGCTAAGGGGGATCATGGTAGAAAAACACCAGGTAAGTAAAAGAAAGGACTGTGTGTGCCAGCATAACAAACAGTGATGATCTTTGACTAATACTAAAATCATATTTTATGTCCTTAAACAACTATATGTGTAAAACAGCTATAAAGCTCCATGGCCAGTTTATAGGATCTGGAGCTCCCTGGCACATCTGATGGCTGAAGGATGCCTTTCAGAGGTAGACAAACGGCACGTACTTCTTGGTACCCTCTGGTTGCTTCCCAGTCTCTGTCTCAGAAGGTGACCAGGGCACATGAAAAAAATCAGCATGTAACTACCAGCAAGGACCAGGTCTTGTGTCTTCAGGACATCCCTGGGCTACAGTATGGCTTGCTGGTAAAAGAGGATTATTTTCACCAGCACGTCTCCGATTCATAGGAACGATAAACAAGTCCCTGATCTTTCACAACGATACTTCTGCCACAGGTGTCACTTGCTAGAATGTCCCTTCCTCCGAGGTGCAGCTCCACCCCCAAATATTCGTATCATTCTCTCCTGACAGAGGGTTGGAAGGCAGTCTGCGTAATGCCAGTGTCCAATGAAACACTTAAGCGGCACAAGACAATCAGCTTTTCATTTGTGGGCTTCTTAAATGTATCTGCAAATCCATGATGCATATGTTGAAATCAGACTAATCAGATCTCATGGGATACAAATTTAGTTGCTTAATTTTACTGGAAATTTACTTGAAATGCAAAGGCCCTTATTTTCAGGGATTAAACAAAAAGTAAAAGCAATGAAAGTACAGACAAAATTTTGTGATATCTCTGGTAGCCCAGTCTGATTCAAAAGCACACTAAGGCATCTGAGTGCTCTGTACGAAGCCAACCAGCTCGGTCTCATGTACGTCTCATTTCAGGGCCTGCCCATGCAGCATTTCTTCACCCATCACGAGGAGCCAAGAAGCCGGAATTTAGTGTCAGAGTATGACGATAAATACAACAGACACGGTTACAACCCTGAGCTGCCTCCCATCCGCACCTGGAGTGGACGCAAGTTTTCCTGGATTCCTCAGAAATCAGATTTCCCCATTCTTGGTAGGTTTTGGCATTATTAATTCAAACAGATGGATCAGGGTGCAGAGGTCAATATATGGACTTAGAGCCAGGAACCTCCTTCTGTTTTAATTCTGAAAATAGATTTTGCGGTGACATTTGCCTAGTTTCTTATCTAGTCAGTAGCTAATTTTTCTGATTGATAAAGTGGAGATGCTACCCATACAACAACACTTAATCACCACAGGGAGCAGAGAAGGGTAGGGTCGATGAACAGATTTCTCTCCTCCATGCAATAACGCAAGACACCAGGTGAAAACAAGGAGTGCTGTGGGGTACAGCCAGCAGGGGAATTCCCAGAGTATTGTTATGTTTCTGAATTTAAGTGACATGTACAGCTCTGCTAACCTTTTTAATATCTGACAGAAAGACTATGAGGAATCAGGACTCCTTACATTTATACTGTTAAGTGTTGTTCTATTGATACGGAATAGTGATCTTCCCTTCCAGCCAGAGGGCAGACACACATGCCCCAGGAACAAAAAGATCTGTTTTGTCCTTAATCTGCTGTCAAAATAATACAAATATTTCCTATGACAACTGTGGAGTAAAAACAGCAGGACCAATTCTATCATTTCTAACGTTTAATCATTTCCTGTCTCAGAACCACCCACCAACTACGGCCTTTATGAGTACCTGAGGAAAAAATGGCACGAGGAAGAAGCTGGCGTGATGAACAGTGTCTACACCGTTTCCTATGGACTCCCACTGATCTCTTCTTGGGAGAAGTGTCAACTGCAAGAACCAGCTAAAATTCATTACCTCCCTCCCAGCCAGGGATACCTCCAAACTGTTCACAGAATCCTGGGCTACGAAGGGGGTCAGAAATACTTGGAAGCCATCGGCTACTGCTGAGAGACAGAAAAGCAAGGGAGGCCTCTGTGTAAACTGCTTAGGGGGATCTTAAGTATTACTTAATATAGCTTGTCACTCGCGTACGTGAGGGTGATCTGTTCCGTGCAGAAGGAATGAGAATTAGGTTATCCAGGCAGAGGACTCTCTACTTGTTAGAACAAGCTGCTGGGTTAACATCCTGACCTGCAGATGGCTGGGAATATTTCAGAAGCTGAAATTTCAGAATACTCATTAAATCACTGAAAACAAAAGTTTCATCTGTTGGTTTCTATTCAATGAACAGTTGCAGTAAGAAAAAAAAAGTAAGAATAAAAAGCAAAGTAAAAATAAAAAAAGTAAGAATGAAAACCCAAACCAGCACAGTGGGATAAGGATATATTAAGGATATTAGGGAGATATTAAGGATATAAATGTCTTAATTCTTTTGTCCTTGGTTGTTTCTTCAATTGTACACAGTTTGCTATACATTTCTTTGTCGAAAGAGGAGAGAAAAACCCTTGTGTTATTCCATACTATGTCTGAAACACCCAAGAAGAAAGTAAACATACGAAATGGCTGCCTATCTAAGGACAAGGTGAAGCAAGGTCTCTCCCAATGCAGTAAGGGAGCAGACCTTGATTGCCCTTGGCTTTACACACTGAGTGGCACTTAAGGGTAGATAAGCTGCAAGGGGAAGATTAGCTGACCTGAGGTTGCCAAATACTAAACCTGGCAGGAATGGCTGTACGTGGCCTTGATACGGCAGAACTGGCCACCCTGACGCTCTACTCAGTTGGGAAAGTACCTGAAGGACCTATGTAAAAAGTGCTGACTGAAGTCCAAATTTGTATTGCACTGATGTGCAGCTTCTGCACTGAAATCACATTTGGTCCGAGGAGATATTTGCAAAGTTCAGCTGTTATTGGTCTGAGGCTCAGCAATAAACCTGCAGCAAGTTAAAGGCTTAGATTAAATATATCTGGAATTAATTCAATGCATATTTATCTCTTCATCAATTTTGCTCAAGACTAGCAAGAATATAATTGTTTTTAGAAACAAGATAAAGCATATACCTTAGTCTTGGCATGGACAAGCCTTCAGCCATGGTTCTGCACAGAGCTTTACCTCTGCGACATTTTAGTCACAGTGATTTAGGTTTGCTGGTTCAAGGTTGGATTTTCAGCTGAAGGACACTGACGTGTGTGCAGGGCAACAGTGGCATCTATTGGCAAGGGATTCCTCACTCATCTGAGAGATCCAAACCCTCTGCGGGAGACAGGCCCTCAGCGGGCTGTGTGAAGCTGAAAGCTGCACTGTTAATGGAACCTTTTAGAGATGCAAGTGCCCTGATGATTAGATAAGCTTTATATAGGCTGTTCTTTTTTTTTTTTTTTTTTGGCTTTAAAGCCCCAGGGAGATCAAAGGCAATTAGAAAAAATTGAAAGCAAAATAGGTGAAAGTACACACTGAAACAGAGCCAGCTATTAGCACGGTGTTATAAAAAATACATTATCCTGAAAAAATGTCTTTAAAGTAATCCATAAAGAAGAGATGCCTTACAATGGAATGAAAAATGGCAGATACAGAAATTCTTGTTTCCACAAGGAAGTCCCTCCAAATTAATTTTATTGCTAATACGACTATAAAAAATGTATTTTTCTTTTTGTTACCCATGTGCTAATATTTTTTAATGATAATACCAACCAGGTATGCATCTTAAAAGCACAAGAAAGCCCACATAATATTTAGAATAGAGCGTAGAAAAGTATACAAAGGTAATCTTCACACAACTCTATCACTTTGCTTAAAAATCTGGTTATCAATCATTCATAATTATTAAATATTCATAGTAAATGAAACATTTATGCTTATTATCTACTGGGAATTACTGAGATGCACAAGTACCACCTATGAAATTTGTATGAAAGCATTAATTCCAAATCTGTAAGCTGCCTGGGCAGAGCTCCCTGAGCACAGGTCTAATTTGCTCAACTATCAACGCCATTTACAAGTAAAATATACAACTCTGAGACCCAAAGGAACCCCAGAAAGCATGTTTGCTCACTGGGTGAAATGCATTTTGATAGAGACATTTCTTAAATAGAAAAATCCACAATTCTACAAGATGTGTCAGTTGTGATTAATAATACCCAACAGCAAAAGATCTGCTCTGCACTAATTGATTAACTGTTTTCACATCAGCAATACTAAAGATGCCTCACTGATACCCAGCCAGCTTTTTGGTGACTCAAGTCTCAAGCTGAACCCATGACAGAGAGTGTCCAGGCTTCTCCAGCTCTTGATCTGAGCTCAGTTGGAATCAAACACACAAAAATTGAATTAATGTATCTTTATCCCAAACACACTGCTCAAATATTCTACAAGATAAAATTACAGACACAATAGCACTGATCATCAAGCTTTTCCCACCCCTTCTCTTCCTACAAAATGTAGTCGACCAGCATCATTCCAGACAGAACCCTCCAGAACCCTAAGGTCAAGCTGAAGGCAGAGCTGCAAACACATGGCTACACCCAAAATACCTCATTTATATATTCTTGCTCTCTGCTTTGATTAGGTCATAATCCCAGGTTCTGATTTTGAGCATCTCTTATTGCCAATAGGTAAAGGTAAGCATATACACAATTTTTTCCAAGTACTATACTCATTTGGCAGAAGTGTGTTGAAGTAGGAATGGCAGATAAAAATGCAGGACACCTTACACCTACAGACACTAATTCTTGCTGAGACAAACAATGCTGTTTGATCAGTTACAATATTGCTGTGGTAGAGACTCCTTTAACAATAAATACCCTTGTTGTGTCTAACACAAATACATTTCCCAACTCCCTCAAATCATCAGAAATTACAAGGACTTTTATCCAAGATAAGAATCATTAAAACAGAGCTAATTTTGCCTGTGCTTCAAGAACAGGTGAAAACAGAAGCAACTAAGATGTTCACAGCTGCCACGGAGAAGGCAGCAGAAAATCTGAAATTTCATCATAAAAAAATATGCAGTAACTCAGAAATCCATTTATGAGTACACAGAACATGCAGCTAACTAATGAAAAGGTACAACAGAAGTGCTGGGTTACACCATGAGGATGTACGCTGTTCAGGAAGAGGAGATATTAATGATGAAAATAGCGTAACCTTCTAAAGAAAAGAGATCAACTTGAAATATAGACCTGGTGGTAAAAGCTCTTGAACTTGGAGACCTCTGAAATATGGATCCAGTTTGGAGCTTAAGTACGTGTCTAACAGACAAGTAAATAGGTAATGTTTAAATGTTTATTCTGTTACACTCTGATGTAAGGCATAATTCACTAATGTACAACAGGCACTTTGGGACTCCTGGGAATCATTATAATATGCAAAGGACTACGCTTTGCTGATGGGTCAGATTCATCCAAACTTTTTTTGAGAATCTTTTTTTTTTTAGTCTCAGGGCCTTGTGGTCACTTGTGACTGGAAAGCAAGAGTGCACTGCTCTCTTCAATTTTTCATTGAGCAAATAGATGTTTTGATACAACTCTCTGTTATGAAAACATTCTAGACAGCCTTGATTGCATGAAATCAGCCTCATATTTGAACCTCAATGACATTAAAGAGACAACATGGTGGTTAGAATTGATGCACGTCTCTCAACGCAAGCAAATTTTGTGCCTCGAAGGAGCCCGATGTCAGCCTCGATGAGCTGCATAAACAAGAAGACAGATTCTTTGGACTGAGACTCTCAGTCGGGGCTGGGACCACGACACGAACACTGATTCTGGCTGGCAAGTTCTGCAACAACTGGGGACTGTGGGAGCGACTGGGAAGTGGGGGTGGTCACAGAGACTAAACGGCAGGGCTTCGGGGAGGAGAGAAACAGGCTTTTGACAAGAAGTTGTTCGCGTGGCCAGGAGGCCTCTTCCAGAAACTTATAAATATTCCTCGGAAGGTACTTCAAAAGAGCTATCCGAGTCAGTGAACTGGTGACACAGCTCCACCGGCCTCAATCTGAGCCTACTTCATGGGTGCAAAATGTCTGCCAAGTCCTGTCCTCCACCTCTGCACGCTCCGGTGCACTGATCTCTTTGAGCAGTGCCTCCAAGCACGGGCAGCGACTGGGGCCGGGATTCGGGCTCTCCCCGCTCCCCTAAGAACATCAAAAAGCTTTCTTTGATGGCGGTTACACGAGGCGCACGTAGGTGGCAGAGCTTGCTGTATATTTAAACATGAATTTCTCATATTGGTGATGAAAACATCAAATCACCATTAGTAACTCGCCTTTTCCTTTTTTAAATGTTTGTAGTGTTTGTTGAACTGAGCAGAACTGATCAGGTCTTAAAAGGCACCGTCTTAAAACCACACCATTGATACTCTTTTTTTCCCCCTGCAAGTCTAAGCAGTCTAGACAGATTTCATTTGCAATACACCCATGATGGTGATCTTACTGCCATATGGGGATGTAGCACTTCGGGAAAAAAATTAATTTACCAGTTTTTAAAAAGAGTTCAGTCTTGGCCCTTCTTTTCTAGACAGCGTGGCTCTCCTCATAGAAATGCACAGCAGCAGGAACTACAGCCTCCATCAGATTTTCATCAAATAAAGCAAATACCTGAAACAAAGTGCTGTATCACACAGCTCTTGGCAGCGGCAGAGAGGACCACGGAGGGGCAATAGTCCCACGGATTTCATTAAGGCTACATTAACCATTAAGCAGGGTTAGGCCTTGCTTACTCACCCCAACCAAGAGTGCATGAAATTCCCAAAACACGGCACATTCTTTGCAGAAGCATCTCAATCTACACTCCACGTCACATTTCAAAGGGGCCACTTATCTTCAGGAGTAGCCACAAGAAACAAAAACACAGCAGCATGTCCTGAACCTGATCTGTGCTCTGAGCTGTCCCTAAGGAAGACATTCCCTTAGTTCTTATGGTTTAAAATCTACACAAGTTCAAAAGGGTATTTGTGGGAATGACTTCACAAAGGCATAAGTTTGGGATATTGAAGAATGGCGGTAGAATAAAATTGTATTTTTCTACATGTAACTGTGCGGCAGCTCCTAAGCTGTTGGTGTAGGGAAGAACTCGTCCTGGCAGTGTATAAAGGAAATAATTCCGTAGTTGCAGCGATGGGGGCATTCGCCCTGGGGATGGAAGGACCCAAGCTCTATTCAACAATGAGCCATGAGGAAATTGTTATATAAATAATATACCAGAGTTGGTTCGCGGCAATAATGTTTGCTAAGAAGGAAAAAATCTCTAGGCACAGTCATTTT